TTTTTTTTTTTTTTTTTGTTTCAAAATTACTAAGAATTCTTAATCATTCCAAATAGTTATAAGGATGATAAAGATTATTTTCTCCCTGCAAAGCTTTTAGGTTTAGGCTTCTTTATTTTAAAATCATGGCAAATCATCTATATCCAAAGGATCCTATAAATGATCCATTAAAAACTCAGGGCCTAGGGAATATCTCAGTATTCACATTGTCTGTCTCCAGACAAACCTTCTAAACTTATCATATAATAATATCTGTTAGAAGTTCATACAGCTAAGAATTGTGAACTACTTCTAATTCTATCTAAAGACTATAAGAATTAGCTTAAACTATAAGTATTAGGAATATATTTGTGGTTTTATATTACTGCACAAGAACAGACATGTCACATGTTTATACTCATTTCTATGCAATACTCATAACATCCTCATATACTCTGCCATAAAATCTAGTTTATAATAATTTATGATAGTCTGACTACAGATATTTTTGTACGTATCTGTACTAGAGGGAAACTAACATATGCTAACCAATACAAGGAACCAGGTGACTTGCTTCAGTTCAATGGCAGAACACACTTTTATTTTAGCAACTACAGTATCACCTATCTGTTTTATTACTAGATTATAATACAATATAGGGTAACAGAACTCCAATTCTGGATGGGATGATGATAGGATCAACTAAAAGTTTACATTCCCAGCTTCCCTGACACTTAACGTGTTTCCCAAAAAATAAGACTTAGCCAGAGAAGAAGCCCTAGCATGATTCCTTCAGGATACGGAGGGCACACACTCCTCACATGAGGGCTTTATGACCTGTTTCAGGGAGAAGGGTGCTTTTTCCACAAACTCCTTCAGCTTAAAATATTCAGTATGCCAAGGTGCCATATTTTGGCACCTAAAATCATGTGAGGGCTTGTTTTCCAGCTAGGTCTTATTTTTGGGAAAACTGGGTATTAGTGACTAGCAGTGACAAAATATTAAACTTAGAAAGGAAAGTTGAAGTCTGCTGGAGATTTCTGGGCAAGTCTTGCTTTATTGATACAGATGTCACCCCTTCCTCCTATCTACTTTTTCCTTATAGAACATGGACAGAACATGGACAGGATAAATGGAACTACAGCAGCCAAATTACAATAGTAGGGAGAATACAAAAAGATTTACAGAGATATTGGATTTGATATTTTTTTAGCTATGAAAGCAATGCTAGGTTTTGTGGGGGTTTTTTTTTATAGCAAAAAGTTATTAGTTCAAGCCACTATTTAAATGGGTTTTCTTTTACTCACAGCTGGAAGTAGTCTCTACCAATAAAGCTTCATTTTAAAATTCTTAATTTATCTTATAATAAGTGTAAGAAGAAAATAACTCTTTATCCAATCATATATAGTGATCTTTGACTCCTAGTAGGAAGGACCATCTTTTGAGCTACAGTGTATTCATTTGTGCTTCAACGTGTTTTCATGCAGCCAAACACAAAGGAAAAGAATATAACTTCTAGACCAGGGTTTCTCAACCTTGACAGGATGGGTTGGATAAGTTTTTGTTGTTGGAGGCTGCCTTGTGCACTGAAGCACGTTTAGCAGAAACCCTGACCTCTACCCACTAGGTGCCAGTAGCACCCGCTAGTCATAGCAACTGAAAATGTCTCCAGACATTGCCAAATGTCCAGGTGGGACAAAATAACTCCTGTTTAACAACTATTGCTCTAGAAAAAAGCAGTTTTATGTTAACATGAAGTGAAAAACCTAATTTTCCATCACTTTTAGTATCAACATATTTATAACTTTAATATTATCAAAAATAATTTGCAATAATAAACATTATACACAAAATGATGAAAAAAATAAAAATAATGTAAAATATACTTACTCTAATCCAAAAGAACCATATGCCAATATTTCGAATCCCCGCCATTGAAGTAAAAATAAAGTACATAATAATAATTGTTATAAGAATATAATCAAGAGGAAAAACCTAAAAAAAAAAACAACACAAAAAAACGATAAAATTTAGTTCAATTCAATACTCAGAGCTCTAGAAGTCAAATAAAATTCACTAAAATTCCATTATTCATATTTGACAAATGTTTAAAATATCAACCCTGATTTAGATCAGGGTACTATGAAAATACAAAAAATAAGAATCCTCCAAAAAACAATTACCAAACTATTAGCAAATTGTTTAGTACCATTAGCCTAAGAAAAATCTTATAAGCTAAAAATTAAATTTAAATATAGAATAAAAAACTTCATCAAAAATTAAAACCAGGAATTGCTTGAGAAAGTTCACTTTAAGTTTTATAATGTATCCTAAATCAAATTATGTATAATTGAAGAGTTCAGCAATAAACCAATATAATAATCTTTAAAGCAACAAATCAATGTAGAAGTTATATATAAATAAAACGCCCAATCAGCAGAGGGCACAAGCATATATTGCCAAGTAAAGTATTAATAGGTTTTTCAACATAATAATTTGGCAGAGTATAAGAATGTTTGCTAGTGTATAAAATGACTTTTTACTTACTGTTTGTAGTAAAGGTAAAAGCATATTCAGTGGATTACTCAGGTTCGCTCCAAATATTATGAAACCAGAATTGATTCCAGCTGAATGAAGAGCTTTATCCAAACTAAAACAAAAAAGTATACAGACTGATTTTTTATATTATATGACCACATTTTCAGTTAATTTATAATGTAAGCATGAAAATTCAATTGAGTCAAAGAAAACCTTGGATAACAAATTAAATCTCACTTAAATGTCTTATAGACATTGTTCAATTAATAAAACATATAGAAATCCTATCATTATTGGAACTTTTAGTCATTCTTTGAGTTAATGCTGTAGAACATTTCAAGTAAAACAGCTACTTAAGATGAATAGGCTACACTAATGGAATTCAGCATAGAAAATGTGTAACATCAGAGGAATTGTATAAGTGCTTTAGAAAATGTGTGTAGTGTACTTACTTTGACAGGAAGAGAGAAATTACAAACAGCAATGCAACTAAGATGAAAAATATTCCCCAAATGATCTACAAGCCAAAAAAAAAAATTTCATTAAAATATAGCTCTAAAAGTTGATATTAAAAGCACAAAACCATTATGTTCAATATGAATGACTAGTATATGACAATGATCTAACTAAAATGATCCAAGATACATTTTAATTTAGTATATGAGGTATGATAAAAAGATATGATGAAAGCTTAAATACAAAAAGATTTATTATTATAAAAGACACATTGCCATTAATCAATTCAAGTCACACAGTACCAGATTCGGTGAATAAGGTGGATGAGGAGCCTTTCTGTTGTGATCACAAAATACAGTGAATGCTGCTGCCAAGTGCCATCCAAAGGAATGGCAGGGATCTTCAACACAGGAAGCAGCGCGTCAAACCTAAGTAACTGTGTGTGACAAGTTTCAACTTTGAAGTGTAGTCAGGCAGGTGTGAGCGACGGTTGAGAGAAGGTGTGTTTTAAAGTGTGCTATAAATCCTCCTCCATCATGACAATGCTCTGTGTCACACATCACTTCTGGCACAGCAATTTGTGTCAATAAAAACATTGTGATGTGTCCTCATCCACCTTATACACTGGACCTGGACTTCTGGCCCTTCCCCGAAGTCAAAGTAATTCAGGACATCAAGGCAGCCATGACAGCGCAGCTAAAGACACTCAGGAAAGAGGACTTCCAGAACTGCTTCAGAAGGTGACAAGAACAATGGGATATGTGTGTTCGAAGCGAGGGGAAGTATTTTGAGGGGGATTAATGGCAATGTGTCTTCTACTGTAATAATTTTTTTAAATTTAAAACAATCACTGTATTTTTTTTATCACACCTCGTACAATCTTAGGCATTTGTCATCTAAATTTTCTTTGAGATTATTTGAGAAAACATGCACAAAACAGAAAAAGCATTTAAAAGTCTTCATTAGTAAGTAAACAAATAAGACTATTTGTTAAATAAAAGGTTTATATTCAATTAAACTCATATATAAACTTCAAACTTAACTGAAAAGTACATTAAGAGACACGCACGCGCACACACACACACACACACACACACACACACACACACACACCTCAAATCCAAAAATTCATCAGGTTATATTAACGTGTTGTTAAAATATAATTTGGAACATTTTCCCATAAAAGTAATGATGTGTGTATATAAGTATGCGTGTGTGTGTATATATATACACCTATATATGCCATGTACGGGGAGTCCCAAAAAATGTATGCACATTTTAAGAAAGGAAAAAACTGTATTAAAATTGTAATACTCAACATATACTGAAAACAAAAGATAAATACAAGTCATCTGTATACATATTTTTGGCACCCCTGGTATATACTATATATATCAATTACATATATACATATAAAACATTATATAACAGCCCAGAAAAAACTATATAACTGATGATATTCCTGAAATGGAGCACTAGCAGCACTAAAGAAACTGTCATGAAAAATAATATTTCTGTGGAAAAATATGTTAAGCATTGTTAATAAGTGGAATACATTTCCTTCTACTATATATACTTTATATTAGGGGTAGTAAAAAAGACGCAAAAAAATTATTGGAACTGGGTCTCTAAGAAATACAATTTCAGAATAAAAAAGGGGTGAAACCTATGTTCCCAATAACCTAGGCTCTTTTTTTCCTGACATCTTCCCTAAATTCCAGGGACAACTACACTGAAGAGGCCATAAAGCCAAGGCCATGATTACTGAGAAAATGTGTTAGGTGAGCTTTGTGCAGGCATGAGTTACGCTGCTGTTGATTATAAGCTCAATGTTGATGAATCAACAATATGTATTAAATAAGTTGTTCTTAAACACAAGCACACAAAAAACAAGGCTATGTATTGATCAGCCGCTGATTTTCAAGTCCAAATCCAAGCTTTTCTATGTACTTCAGCTTCACTGCTGTACTAATGTAAAGATGAGTTAGATCACTTACAAGTAGATTCACTCTTATGTAAACTTCAGTATCTATACCATAAAGTTACTGATAATCTACAAAAGACCCTGCAGGTTACAGAAATTCTAATACTCAATTACTACCAACATAAAACATCCCAAGACACATCAATGCTAGCTTAAATTAAGCACCTACACTAAAACCCCAAATGTACCTCTAAAATGAAGAGTGATCAAGTAAAAATTTGGACTACACACTTATACTTCTAATAAAATATTTAATAAACCTACTTTCAAGTTAGAAAGAGTCAGTCTTTGCCTTTAGGCATTTTCACATAGTGTGGCCTAAAACAAAGAAAAACCATACATGCTTTAAATATTACTGAGGAAGGAAATCTGCTGCTACATCTTTAAACATAATTCATATTCAGTTTCAGAGGGTTCTAGGATGACAAAAATATGGGTAAAGAAAAATTAAAATATGTCTGTAGACCTTCAAAACAACTAAGCACTGTCAGTGTGTAATAAAATTATATTTCACTGCTTGCTTACCTCATGAAATTTAGGTGTGTTTAGGTTTGCTTATTTGTTGGGAGGTTGGGAGTGAAGTGGGACAATCAGAAACACAAATTTCACTAGTTCTTTATTATGAGTCAGATTCAAATAAACATTTTTTAAAAAGTATATGTATACTAACAATGAATAATCTGAAAAGGAAATTAAGAAAATTCATATAGTATGGAAAAGAATAAAATATCTAGGAATAAATTTAAACAAGGAAGCGAATGACATACACTGATAACTATAAAATATTGCTTGAAGAAATTAAGGAAGATATAAATAAATGGAAAGACATCACGTGTTCATAGATTGGAAGGCTTAATATTGTTAAATGGCAATACTACTGAAAGTAATCTAAAGAGTCATTGCAATCCCTGTCAAAATCACAATGGCATTTTTGCAGAAACATAAAATCCCATTATCACGTGACTCACAGGTCCTCATTTCCAAACTCACCACATAGCTACAGTAATCAAAACAGTTTGGTACTGGCATACAGACAGATTTATAACTAACAGAATAGACCCAAAAAGAACACCCTCACATACATGGTCAAACAATTTTTGACAAGAGCGCCGACCGAGCCAGTTCAATGGGGAAAGGAGAGTCTTTTCAACAAGTGGTGCTAAGAACAGGACATCCACATGCAAAATAATGAAGTTTGACCTTTACCCTTCACCATACATAAAAATTAACTCAACATATATTAAAGATCTAAACATAAAATCTAAACCTATTAGATTCTTAGAAGAAAATTCTTCATGGCATTGGATTTGGCAATGTGGAGGACAGACTGTTCTATTCTACCACAAGCTGGACCTGGACAGAAGGGAGGGTGCTTTTGGTAAACCCCTATAAGAGACTGTTCATAACTGATGATCATTCTGACTTAAATCCCCTTCGTCCTGCTATGTGCTTGTTCCTGGAACAGGCTGTTCTGACGTGGTCAAGCATGTAATTTCCCCTACCTGGTAGCATTCACATACTAGTACCAGTGACTATTGCCCCCTTTTACCCTATATATTTCTTTGGAGCCTGCCAAGTGATGCAGAGATCCATTTTATTTCGCAGCTCCCCAAGACATGCCTCATATGTAAGTTTCCCTTAAAAAACTTTATTAATTACCAGACTGAAGTAGCTAGCCTCTTTCTTCCGTCTTTCCCTGCCCTCTGTTTAAGAAGGTAGATATTCAGTCTCTGGGCTTTTCCTTGGATCTGAATGAACTAATAGGCAATTATTTTTTGCATATGACCAAAAGCACAGCAACAACAACAGAAAAATAGATAATTTGGACTTCATCAATATTAGAACCTTTTGTGCATCAAAGGACACTATCAACAGAATGAAAAGATAACCCAAGAATGGGAAAAATTATTTGCGAATCATGTATCTAATAAGGGGTTAATAAACTTACAACAGCAATAAAACAAACCATTTTAAAATGGGCAAAGGAATTGAATAAACATTTCTCCAAAGAAAATGTACAAATGACTAGTAATCAAATGAAAACATGCTCAACATCGCTAGTCATCAGTGAAAATGGGAAGTGAAAATCAAAACCATGGGATACCACTTCACAAACCATAAGGTTGGCAATTACCAAAACAATGGAAAATAAATGTTGGTGAGGATGTGGAAAAAATGGAACACTGTACATTGCTGGTGGGAACATAAAATTGTGCTGCTGCTGTGAAAAAATTTGTAGGTTCTTCAAAAAGTTAAACACAGAATTACCACATGATCCAGCAATTCCATTTCTAGATATATACTCAAAAGAACTGAAAGCAGGGGCTCAAACGAGTACCTGTACACCAATTATCATAGCAGCATTACTCATAATAGCCAAAAGCTGGAAACAACCCAAATTTCCACCAAGATAGATGAATAAACAAAATGTATTATATATATAGAATGAAACATTATTCAGCCTTAAAAAGGAATGAAATTTTGATACATCTACAAATAGAAAAACCTTGAAGACATTATGCAAAGTAAAATAAGCCAAACATAAAAGGACATGTATAGTATTATTTCAGTTATATGAGGTTCCTAGAATGAGCAAGTTCAGAGAGACAGAATGCAGAATAGAAGTCATTAGATATTATGGGGAGGGGCAGGGGGAAGAAATGGGGAGTTATTGTTTAATGGGTACAGTGTTTCTGTTTAGGATAACAGATCTCTGGAAATGGACAGTGGTGATGGCTGCACAGTATTGTGAATATATTTAATGCCACTTAATGTACCTACAAATAGTTAAAGTGATACACTTTATGTTACATCTTTTACCAGAATAAAAAAAGTCTGAAAAATTATATGTAGTTATGGATATGAATTTATAACTTTCTATGAAAATATACAAGGTATATAAAATAAGGTGTATATACAGGAAAATCTCAAGTTATATTTAAAACCTAATGGATCTATAGGTTACCAAAGCCAATTAGTTGTACAAGCTCAAAGTATGTCCTTCTGTCAAGGGAGAGCTTAATCAAGTATTTAAAGAACATTAGGCTGTATGCTTAGAAATGTGTTCAGTAGTATATATAAATGCTGTTTTACGTAATCTAATTAGATGCTTATTTCTATAAGTGTCTTCAATACAAAACTAATTTTCTCCCTTGAGTTCCGTAGCAGTATTTTTAAGAAGTTGAAAAATCCTACATCCAGAACTATAACAACACAACTGCCATTTTCTGAGCTGTTTACATCAAAAGGCAATGCACTGCATACATTATTCATTTACTTCCTATAACAAAACTAAGGTTCAGTATATAACTCCATTTTAAGGATGAGAAAATCGGGGTCTGGAAAAGTGAATTGAAAAGAAGTTATGTAGCTGTGAGGATCAGAGCAAGGGCTCACAACCAGATGTGCTCATATCTGACAGCCCACGCTGTGAACCTTCTGCTTTTGAATGGAGAGGGGCACATCCTAGGGAATGCACAGCCATGTGAGATCATGAGATCAATAGGCATCTCCTGGGAATCTACTCTTATGGAAAAAAATTGCAGAGGTCGGAATGTTTGCATTAGCAAAAATTTAAATTTAATATATTTTACGATACAACAAACATGGATTATAGCACAGAGTAAAAGGCAATACTACCACAAAATTTTGAGATAGAACATAACTTCTAAGAAATTTTGTATTGGGAGTGCCTCACTCCCTGTCTTAAATCACCTTCAGAATATAGCGAGCACTGCAGAGGGCTAAATGGACTCCCCCTTCTTCTACCAGGACTACTTCGATGCTAATGCTTAAGGACCACTAACAGCATGTGGCTTCCTATTTTTGAATTATACCAACTGTGGAAAAACAAAGAAGTGATGAAAAATAATTTTCATATTTCATTTGAGGGAAAAAAAAAGCAGTGTTTATCCTTTGGCATTCATGGTAAACCTTCAATTACGTAACAGTAAGTTTGTATCACCAGATACTTCTTTCAGGAATGCCTATTACTAATTATTCATAACTAATTATTCCTAACTTAGGACTAGATAATGGGAAGATAGGTAAGAATTCAGAACAATATTCAGGAATGACACATTTATATAGCAAAAGGAATAAATGGTAAACTGATTGTAGTGGAGGTTTCAGCCAGTACGGTAAGGAAAAAAAAAGCAATTGAAAATGTTATCTATCTGAAAGGAAGTAAAACTGTCTTTTAGCAGCTGACATGATTGTGTACATAAAATTCTCCTAGTAATCTATAATAAAACTACTAAAACTAATAATTTAGCAAGGATGCATGATATAAGATCAATGTACAAAAACAAATTTCTACATATTAGCAACAAATAATTGATAATTAAGATAAACAAAATCATTTCCTTTAATAGATATAGATAAATTTATTAAAATATTTGCAAGGCTTTGTCACTTAACACTACAAACGACAGCTGAGAGAAATGTAAGATAACATAAATAAATGGAAAGATGTTCATGAATTGGAAGATTCAATCAGTATTAAGGTATCAACTCTCCCCAAGTTTACTTATAGACTCAAAGTGATTTCAATAGAAATACCCATGGGTGTTTTGTGGAATTATGAGTTGATTCTAAAATTTATATGGAAATGCAAAGGTTTTAGCACAGCTAAAACAATTTTGAAAAAGGAAAACAAAACTGAAGAACTTACACACTTGATTTCATGACTGATTTTAAAGTCCCAGTAATCACATTTTAGCATAAGGACACATAGATCAATGGAGTGGAAGAAAGAGTCCAAAAAAAAGAACCTCACACATCTTATGATCAATTGATCTGACAAAAGTGCCAAAGGAATTCAATGAGCAAAGGACAGTCCTGCCAAAAATTGGTGCTGATACCTATATGGAAAATAAAATAAACCATGACCCTTAAGTCATACCACCCCACAAAATTAACTTAAAATGGACCATGAACCTAAATACAACAGCTAAAACTGTAAAACTTCTAGAAGAAAACACAGAAGAAAATGTTTGCTATAAAAGCTCTCTGAATGACAGTGTTAAGAAAACATAAAAAGCAAGCCATAACCTAGGAGACAACATTCACAATACATATATTTGAATAAGTACTTGGTCCAGAATATATGAAGAATTCTTATAACTCACTCATGAAAACAAAAACCTAATTTAAAAAATGGTCAAGAGATTTCAACAGGCATTTTAGAGAAGAGATACAAATAGCTAATAAAAATACAAGATGATGTTCAATATCATTAATCACCAGGAAAATGCAAATTATAACCATAATGAGATTCTATTACACACCCATTAGGGTAACTATTACAAACAGTTACAACGTAAGAGTTGACAAGGATATGAAGAAATTGGAAATCTTATATTGCTATGGAATGAAAAATGGCACAACCACTTTGGAAGTTTCTTATAAATTTAAACATATGTTAAACATTACACCCAGCAAATGTACTCCTAGGTATTTACCCAAGAAAAATGAATGAAATGAAAACACATATCTGCACAGATTTATGAACAAATGTTCACATCAGTGTTATTCATAATAGTCTCAAACTAGAAACAACTTAAATCTCCACCAACAGGTAAGTGGATAACCAAATTGTGATTTGACACACACTGGAAGGCTACTCGGCAATAAAACAGAAGGAACTACTGAAAAAAATGTAACAACATGGATGAATATCAAAAATATCGTGCTGGGCAAAAGGAACCCAACAAAAGATTATGCACTCTATGATTCCATTTATATAAAATTACAGAACACACACAACTGAAGTATAACGACAGAAGTACATTAGTGGTTGTCTGGGGTCTGAGCTCAAGGAATCAAGGAGAGACATACAGTAGCTTTTGGGGGTAATGTGGGTATTCTCTCTCTATATATATATATATATATACCTGTATTTGGCAACATCAATCTGCACACTTAATGAAATTGATTTAAAAATCCCTCTAAGCATATGTTCAGTGAAATGGAACAAGCATGTTTAAAACAAGGCAGTTAATATTACAGACCAGGTTATAAATGCTCATAAGAAGCTATAAACAAGTTAGTATTAAGAAGATAAGGTTAGGGAAGGGTTTCACCCTAACTTTGGTGCCATGAAGAAAAATCACCTTGGGAAAAAGGGCTGCGGTGAATCTTAAAAAAAAATGTACTCTAACAAAAGATTAAAAGAGTGATACATAGAACTAATTGATTATGGTATATTTTTGAAGAACTCTGTCAAAAGAGGAGCTTTTTGAGGTGAGCATTAGTGCATCTCCTCATTTCCTTTCTAATTATAAGAGGAAGACCAAGCAGTATCAGAACTCAACCTGACTGATCTTTGATGGGGTTCTATAAAACACTTTTTATTAATTTAGCCAAAACCCACTTTCTGCCTTCATCTTACCTAACTTTCCCCAAACCAGTCTATTGACTGTACTTTCTGAATTACACTGTATACTAGTACTTATGGGATACAGAACTCTGGCGTTTGCAATGCTAGATACAGAACAGGCACATATGGAAGTCTGTGGCCAGCAGGTCTAGCTACTTTTTAGACTCAAGGTCATATTATGATGAACTTAATTCAGTTTAGGTACTTAATGGTTAGGTACCATAGCACCAAGAATTCAAGACTGGCAAATGATGGTTTAAAAAAAAAAAAAGTAATGATTTTTCTATCTCAAATAATACCTTTTCACATATTTTTAGCCACATATCATCTAACAATAAAACAAATTCTATTACTTTCATTTAGGGCTCCTAAGTTCTATCACGAGTACCAAATCTCCTATTTATAGAAAAGTACAACTTGCAAAATATGCTATCAGCATACTACATTTATACTTACCTATATTTTAACTTACGTTTCCCAACTCTGTTCACATAATACTTACATTACATGTGAGTAAATGAAGTTCAGACAAGTTACATACCTTGCCCAAACTACCAAATGACAGAGTTGTGATTCCAAATCAGATTATTTTAACTCTAAAATCCATGCTCTTAAGTACCTCAAAAAGGGAACTCAAATTCCCTAAGAGGTACTCTATAAACTTGAAAGAAGAGTGACAGCATAATTTTTAAAACTCTATTTACCTTGAGGGGCCGCAGAGCACCACAACATTTTGTCCACCAGCTGTTTTCAATGAATTCTAAGTGCCTCTCTCTTTTCCTAAGTGTTCGTAACCTTTCTTCAAATTGTTTTAAGGCGCGTTTATCCCTTGCTGGCAAAGGTCGACCATCTTTGCTCTGCAAACAACAAAACAAAAAAAAAACAAAAAACAAAAAAACAAACAAACAGTTTTTTACAATTAAGGTCTTAATAAAGTACCCATCAGATTTAGCAAATCAAGCAATGAAAAAAGTTTTTTTTTTGTTTTTTTTTTTTTAAAGATTTTATTGGGGAATTGGGGGAGGGGGAACAGCGTTGGGGAACTAGGGAAGGGGAACAGACAAGTTGCTGTCCTTTTGTTCTTCATTCTTGTTGTGGGACGTCGCTTCAGTGGCCCATGTTGGTATTATCATTGCACTCTTCCCAGGTGAGGCAGATCGGTTGCCAGCCACTGGACAGCCGCTCCTGGCGGCTTTTGGCAGCTCATGGTAGCTTACGGGAGCCCACTGCAGCCTATGCCTTCACTGGCGACTCATGGCAGCCCAGCTCCAGGTCAAGCTATTGTTCACCATCTTAGCTGCAGAGGACGCAGCGTCACTGGCCCTAATGTGGGATCGAACCGGGGCCCTGCTGCTCAGAGCTGGCGTCCCAAGCCAACTCTTAGCCAACGCGCCACTTGGCCGGCCCAATGAAAAAATTTTTTAGGTTGGATTTGACTCCTTAGGCAAATTTACAAATTGAAAAAAAAAAAGACAACTTCAATGTGACAATACACATATCTGAACCAAAGTCAGCATCAAAACGTGGATTGTGTATGCAGTAAACAGTTCATTTAATACTGAACTTCCTCTTGATCCATGTTTTCCAAATATATGGTAAGTTATGTGGAGTGAGAGAATCTGTTTTTAAAAACACAGTTTTTTTATGGGCTACTTTATGTAGTTTGTTCAATTAATCTTGCTCAGTTCCAAACTCCTCCTTCTATCCCTTATCTTAACATATTTGGCCCCACTTCTCTCCCTTTGGTCAAGTGATTGTGTTATATTGTACCTGAACTGATGTTTCTCAGCCCCATTCAAATACCATCAGAGAGATGTAATACGAGTATGTGGCAAGCAGAGCTTTTTATAACAACTGCTAAGAATTGGCACTTCCTTTTTCTCCAAGTACATTTGCAAATGAGCCATGTTTTTTTTTGGTCAACCTCAGATAAATTCCCTTCTATGTTTATGTGATGCTTACTGTAACCATGAGCATATATCTTTCTCATGGTGTCTCACAGATATACTTTTCCACTTGAACTCCCCTGCCCCTAAGTGACTTTAATTGGGTATAATAATAAACTACAATAATAAGACAACTGCTAAGTATAAAAAAGGCGAAATGTAAATTTGTTCATTTTATTGGAAGGAACAAGAAAAATATTTACATGGGAGTATATTTTCAAAATGTAAAGACATTGGATATTAGAATGTTAATATCCCTATTAAGGTTAAATGGGCTCTTAGCAGATATACAACATATTGCTCTCCAACATACCCTAATGCAGCCTCAATCTATAATAATAGATATAATGAAGACAATACCCAAATACCCTTTAATAAAATCTCTTGACATTATGACAGTGCCCTGCTCTTCTGGAACCAGCCATCCTCTTCCATGCCTTATATTATTGCTTCTCAAACTTTATCATGCATAACAATCACCTGAAAAGTTTGTTAAACACAGATTTCTAAATCCTACCCCCAAGAAAATATGATTTAGTAGATCTTGGATGGGGCCTAGAATTTGCATTCTACCAAATCCCCAGGAGATGCTGATGCTACTGGTCCAGAGACCATACTCTGCATATGCTGAACTAAATTTAATCTTCACTCCTTTACGTCAAGTTCATTAGGTATTATCAAGTTGTATCCCCAAAAAGGGAACCTTACCGAAAGTTATTTTCTGAAGGACAGAAGAATAAAACAAACACTCCCTTCTAGAAAATAGATCTGGGTAATAATATTTCAATTGTGTGGTATGAAAAGGGTTCAGTACGTTACATCTCAACCATAACAGCCATTCTAATACCATTTCCCTGAAAATAAGACTGGGTCTTATATTAATTTTTGCTCCAACAATCTACATTTGTACATTTATTCATGTACAAAAAT